CTGAATGCTGATTGCAATGTGGGCAACAGAAATCTCCCTGTCAGCCTCAATAAAACCAGGTGTAAGCTTACAGTGTTAGTTCAGTCAATTCAATTCTCGTGTCTTTCTGTCTTTATCTAATCTAATATATAGTCACGAGATAAATTACGGGAGCGTATGATAAATTGCATTGCTATTCATTGCTGGCAAGATCACCTATACTACAGCCACTAATTCATCTCCGCCAGGATCCACAGTAATGTACCTGATCCTCAAAATAGCCTCCCAAAATGTTGTTTTCTGTAAGAAAACAAAGAAATTAATTATGATGGCAAATATTCTGTTTATCCTCACCAAAAGAAATATCTCATTGCCACCTCTGCAAAGTCACTCTGTTATAAAATATCAATACCTATTTGTAGCATTAAGATACTGGGGCCTGGTATTCTATTTGTGTTGGAAAGTAATGCTATGAAATTTAGGGATTTCAAAAAAGGGAATGACAACATCAAAGGATGATATGGTTTAGGCTTAAGGCAAACAAAGAGTCATTAATTGGCTGTTTGTTTATTGGTTGTGAGGCTGTTTTTGTTTATTGTTTGTGGGGTTTGGGGTTTGGCTTGGTTTGGTTTTCGGTGTAGGGTCTTTTTTGGCTTCAGGCCCAAACATACAAAACAAGCAGAATATATAAAACTGAGTAAGAAACCCGTAACATGCCATGATCATTTTTCCAGTGCTTATTTAGAGCAGTTCACTGCTCTCGAATAACATCACCATTCTGAGTCACACCAGGACCACCCTGAGTCCATACATCTGTGCATCTTATCCTCATTCACCTGGGAGTGAAAGGAGGAATGAAAGAAAAGGAGAGAAGATACCCTCACACCCATCAGATCCAGTTCCACCTGTCATACAGACTATGGTGGGTAGCAGAGGCCATTGGTGAAGTGCTTTTGAGGTGCAAGGAAACTCTAAAGACCTGGGGAGTGCAAGGTAATGAAGGCTGACTTCATGTGTTGTAGAAGAGCCACTCATCATCAGTAGTGTGATGGAGTACACAAGTAGGACTGCAGCATCAAAGCTGGTCCCAAGCACTCATTCCTATCACTAGTCCATGTTGTGGAATGTGATGGGCACCAGGACTCATCTTCAGCCACCCTTGGACCCAAACCACATCCCACCACTTCTAAGAATGAGGAAAGCATCAATCTGACAGTAATGTTGGCCAGAGGAGATGTGGTAATGCCCACACCAGTGCAGTGCCAGCTCCAGTATTTGCTTTCTGCTTCTCGGTGTATTTGCTTCCATTGGTGTCAACCACTGTAAATCTCTGTGAAATGGTGCTGAAATGCAGTCAACAGCTGCTGAATCTCATCCAGGAGATTGCTGCACCTCAGCAGTTTGCATATCAAGATTTAAAACAATTTGGGACATTTTGACATGGAAGATACTATGGATGTGAAAAGATGTGAATATGATCATCATATTCACAGCAAAATCAATTTTCAGTTCCATGAAAACACAAGCAGCACTTCAAGACAGGACATGTATTGAAGGATGAAGAGAAAACCCTGCTTTGCTGGTGGGAGGAAAGTTTTCCAGGTCATTTTAGGGATGTGAAGGCTTCACCCTACTGTATTTAGAAGTCATTGAAGCATAATGCTTACGTCCAGCTAATTAGATACATTGCTATAGGCAGCAGAGAAATATAATAGGCAGATGCATTCAGTTAGCCAGATCTCCCTTGGTGTAACGAGCTGAAGTCAATTACGGAGTTAAATTGGGAAAGGTTTGACCCGATGTCATTTATATCTCCAGTCATAATTAACACTTAAAGTTCAACTCTGTGGCAATTTTCTTTTAATAACACTTAAAGCGTATATAAAGCTCAAAGAATTGTATAGACATGATGGAGGATGACTGGAGTGGATGCCAGGATTTCAACTCCCATAATTAATCCTCAAAACACCTTTGCAAGGCAGGCAACATCATTCCTTTTCAGTTTCTCCTTTGAAAAGAACCAGGACTTGCCCATTGCATCCCCAAAGTCCTGGAGATGAGGTCTGAGGCTTTTCAGTTGTGAAAATCAGTGAGCTCCCATCTTTTTTGCCATGTTATATTTTAAATTCTAAGATTATGGACAGATTACTTGTCAAATGGCCTGTTTTTTTTTCCAATTAGAAGCTAAGCAAATAGAGAAAAAAAAAAATCTTCTGCAACCACGGAGTTTGCTTCTCAGTCTTTCATGGGGATGAAGTAGGAATGGTGCTGGGAGAAGAAACGTGCTCTCAGGCTGAGAACTTGTAAGCTGAGTTTCATCTCGTTGCAGATTTTTATGGTCAAGATATAACTCCCTGAAAAGCAGGGCTTTAAAATGGAAGTGCTGACAAAACTTTTAAACTACAACAGTGGAAATGGCGCCACAATAATTTATAATCTACAGGCAGCTCTTGGATTTATTATCGCAATGACAAATGCACTGTCATTGTTAATAGGATATTTCCCAGCAAGGACTTCTTGTTATGCAAGCCAGGTTCACTATGTCATGCAGCATGATAGCAATAAAGTCTACAAGAATTTGTAATGAACTTCAATTACTAATAGATTATGGTTAATGGGAAATATGTGCAGTAAAGATATGGGTTTTTATATGCGCCTTCTGGTACTCTACAAGGCAATGATTTATGCTACAATTTATGTTAACATTCTCCAGTTCGAAAAAAGCTTAAATTGGTGGAAAGCCACTCCATCCATAACAAATATTTAAGATAATTTTGCACATCATGTAAATGAAGATGTAAAATTAGATATTAATCCATTTCATTTTAGCATTTGTATTTTTATTAAAAATGAAGACTTTGCCCTACTGTGTAATGACATTAAAAATCCTATCATGGGCTACAAGCATGAATTACACTGATGTAGAAATGGCGACAGCAACTGAGCTGTAAGTACATTTGTTCAATTTGCTGTTGTAATTAACAGAGCAGCGAGAATATTTTCCTAGGTATGATTTAAAGGCACAGACCTGAAGCTGCTCGCACAGATGTATGTGATGCAGGAAGGATGTACCTGAGAAGACCAGGATCCTTACTGATGTGTTTTTAACACGAGCTGCCTGAAGCCTTTTGTGTTTCAGCCTGCTTTATGACAGTGTAAGGCCATTGCTCTTAGCAAACCTGTGCAAAAAGCATATAAATACACCCTATAGGTATAAATGCAGCTTTCAGGCATGTGAGCAAGGCAGACCTGGCCCACTGGCCCCCAAGGGTTTGCAAAGAGTGAAGTCTGGAAACGTGCCTTTAGAAGAGAAGGCTGCTGGCTGAGATAAGGTGGGCTTTTTGAGAGGAAAGCAGATAATTCCATGTGGAGAGCACGCAGGTAAGATCAAAACTGCCACACAAAACCCCAGTCTGTGTTGGGGTCAGCCTCCCCAGGCCTGCTCTGGAACAGCAGCATCATGCCGTGCAATTCAGGGTGATGCTCACATGAAAATGTGGCGCTTCAGGCTATTAGGAAAGCATTTGAGAGATATACAAAAGAGAGATTTATTTAAAAAAAATGAATATAAAATTGTCTTTCCCCGCACTCATTTCCTACTAAATAATACTGACAGCGTTTACTTTTTGGAAATGTTTGTGTTACAGATTTAAAATGAAAAACAATACATTCCTTATGTTTTCTTTTGTAATTCAGCCTTCCCTCAGCCCAACAGAAGCAACCACCTATGCAGAATGAACTTCACTGCATTTTCTCCCTTTTTTTTCAATGAAGTTCTCCTCAAAACTCAAAACCATGGCAGAGGATCCGACAGTGTGGAGATAAGGAGTTTTCCTCTCCAGCTTGGGTGACGGTGCCATTTCCCCAGTGAAATCTGCTTTGAAACAAGGCTGCATTTAAAGGCACACACCCATCAAGCGCTCCATTTCTCATCTTCTGAATCACCTTTCCACTTCCCTTTTTGCTCATATCCTCCTCTCGTCCCTTCAGATCCTCTCTGTTGTTTACCTTCTTTTCCTGCTCAACCGTGACGTGGGGCCATTCCCAAATTTTCAGAACAGCCCTCCCCAGAAAACTCTAAAATGCCTGTTTCTGCTATTTTGAACCTGTGAAAAATCACAGAATGGGCCGTGCAGCCGTTGTTCGCTGTTGTTGTTAGGCTTTTTCTTTTGTTATGGCATCTTAGGGCCTCCAAAAGAGACATCACTTCTTCCAGGGTCGGTGTGGCAATATGCAGAGGTCATTGCCTCCACGAGCACCACTTAGAAGAGGTCGTTGACACAAAAGAGCTATGGAAATAGCTGCAGCTTTAATTTGTTTTCCATTAGAGGCGCGTGCAGGAATCTGTCCTAATGAGAGATTTTCTTTCTATCCCTTTCTGGCACATCACTGTAGCAGCTTATAGATGTACCAAGGTCTCCTAATGCAGGAATCTATGTGAAAGTGGCAATAGATATTATTCTGTTCAACAGCGGAGAAATGCTGTGGAAATGTTCTAAAACACGCTGGAATTAATATTTGATCACTAGGCAAAGTGTGTGTTTCAAATAATTCAGCCTAAAATGAACAGAAATGGGTATTAATGTCTGATGCATTCTCCTGTAAATCACCTCAAATCTTCAATCATCCACATTATATTGGAAATACATATGTAGAAATAAAACATTATTTCATGCCACTGAAGCATTAGCTAAAGTACACCGTTCTCACACTGACCCGAGCTATTTCAATGGCAGACATCACACCTGTCCCCCTGGATACACCAAGCATTCAGACTATTAAAGTCATCCAAGCGGCTGTATTGCATTCCACTCTGCGTTGCACCTCATAGAGAGCGCTGCACTTCTTAAAACCATGAAAGCATTCAGCAAAACAAATACATTGATTACCAGAGCAGAGACAGCCCCAGAGGGTGAAAGGGCTGGGGAAGAGAAGTACGTTTTTTCTGGACATCTTCTACCGTGTTCTGGATAGATTGACCTGGCGTGATTCCACAGACAAGGAAAGAAATCCCACTGAAATTTGTCACTTCAGCTTCAGGGTTTATTTTTATGTCTTCCAAGTTATAAAGCTCAAAACATGAGCACGGCCCTTTGCATCCAAGCTAGTCATAGGCCACAACCAGAAAGCCTATGTTTTTAACAAAAAATAAAAAGCCCCTCCATTACAGCAATAGCTGATTCCTAACCAAGGCTTAGCACCAGTGAAATCCACTCCTCCAGTTTGGCTGTCAACAATCCTCTGCCATGACCACCTTTATTTGCTTCCATCTTTCAGTACCAGTATGGACCCAGTACCCAAAGTGTTTTTACAGCCCAGCATGTGTAGCTGCCATATATATGAACCATAGGGAAAGGACACTGCTGTTGCAATGTCATAAGAATAAAGTGAAAATACAGCAATGGGAAAGCAGTGCTATCACACAGAGCTGCACGTGGAGGCAGGAGCAGGCAAATGTCACACATGCAGAAGGTTTAGGTCACTTTTGTGGTAACTGGACACATGAGATCTTGAAGTCACAACAAGCTTAAGGTATTCAAGATATTCAGCAGCCACCCAAGCAGTTGGTTGTTTCAAGGCTCCAATCTTGAAAGTGGCACTGAGAAGCTGTAATTTGTGTACTTTGCTGAGAGTTTTTAAATGCATATGGCATAATCATGTATAGTTCTTGATTATTTCTTAACCATCAGCCAGAGGAAGTGGTCTGGTTTCTTCAGTGTTTGAGCTGATGATCCAAGTTATATCTGATTATACCATATCCACATGATAAAACACAATTTACTGCTGAGTTACACCTTCATAGATTACTACAGAATTAATCTCGCTTTTAAAGATCACTTACAACAGCAGATGTTAGTAATGATTTCTTAACAGACTCCAAAAAATAAACGATGTAAATTGAACCATTTGTAAAGAATTTTTTTTTTTTCCCCCTACTTCAACTCTTAATATTTTATATCTCATCATTCGTTTTTCTCAATTCAGGGCTCAACCATTATCACACTCATGTTGTTATTAAAAAACACCTTCCCATTTCTGTTTTCACTGCATCCCGGCTTTCTTAATTCTTCCAGTACCTGCTGCCTTAGTTCAGGAGGAGCATTTTTTGAAAACTCACAGGTTTCTGTCAAGAAATCCAGCAACAGCTCCCCATCATTGTCCCCTTCAGTGAAGCAGCAAGTTATGTCCATGTGGGATGGAAGCTCATAGATCTTGTACTTCAGCCCAACTGAATCCAGAATCCCTTTGATATTAGCAGAGGATATGAAAGTGCAGAGGTCATCTGTAGGAAAGGAAGAACCATACTTCGTCCAGAGTGTTTCCCAGCCACTGGTTTCTGAGAAATAAACCATAAGAAAAACATTCAGGAAAAACACTATTTGAACAAATTATGACCTATTTCTTTTTTCAGCTGTTGTCTGCACTGCAAACTGGGGCTCCCAGAATTAGGACTCAAGCCATGGGGCACAGTGGAGACAGTTGCTCCCTCTGGAGTGGGGCTGTGGGAGACAGGGGACATTCACCAGCTAGCATATCCAGCACCTTTTGGTTCTCACAGTCTTCCCTTTTCCATGTCCAAAGTGTTCCAACTCTTTTCCACCTATGTGTGCCAATGCAATGGCCTGTGTCTCCCAGGGACCTACTTCTGTAGTCCATGTATTCAGCTATTCAGTGATATCTTCTTGAATTAAACCATTCTCTAGATTTCTGTGTCCATTTGGAAGACCAAATCCTCCCCCATTCCTTCATCCAATTTACTTAGTTGATTGATCTATGTGAGACCTTCATTAAAACACCTATTGACAGTAAACTATTTACCTGTTGCTTTAAATACACAGGGTGCAAAGCCCTGGTCACATTAACCATGCAGTTAGTTAGACACATAGTAGAGAAAATTATTGTAATAGAGCCTGGAATGAAGCTGCACCATCTTCCTTCAGCCTTCACTCCCACCATGGTTACACACTGTGGGGTATAGGCAGCATGCATCCCAGGCAGTCCTCCCAGTGGTGCCAGAAGGATGCTTAGGCTGTGTATTGTTTGTGCTGTGCAAAGATTTCAGGGCTGTGGTTTAGTGGGGATAGTGATGTTGGGTTGACAGTTGGACTAGATAATAATAATATTAATGGTCTTTTCCAACCATTATGATTCTATGATGATGGGGCAGGTAGGAAAAGGCTCCTGCAATCACCTCCAGAAGAGCCCACCCTAAGTCCCCCTCTTCTAAAGATACATTTTACAAAGAAAACCAATGGGGTAATCTCAAAACTCCCCAGATACATCTTCATTTCTTTGTTTTCCCTCATCCAAGATCTGTGATTCAGCATTTCTGCTATAAATCATTTATAAAAGGATCACCCAAAATGACTGGACAGGATGAAAATACCTTTGAGCCTAATGAGCAGCTCTTGAGAGTTATGACTATAAATCTCCCTAACTGCTAAAACCAGTTGCTTGGCACTTTTGCAAATGCTTTATCTGCAAGCAGTTATTTATAGCCAAATAAACAGTTTGGTGTTTAGAAGGGCTTCGATATTTTCTTTCACCTGGTGGAAATTGAATGCAGAGCACTAATAGCAGAAAATTTGCTGGTGTCAGTGTTGTATGACTCGGTGCCATCTCCGAGCTGAGCAATTATACACTACCTGAACAAAGCATTATTATAATAGCTCTCGATAGGCTCAGCATATGGCACTACTTTTGTTTTCAAGGCGATGTAAACACATTTTTAAAATGTGTTAAAAATAACACCATACAGCTCTTGCAACTCGCCTGCTCTCCCAGCAGGGATGGAACAGGCGGCATTGCAACCTCCACCGAGTGACCGAGCCCTCTGCTATCAATCCTATTCCCAGAATGTTTTTTAATTAACACATCCTAATGTGTTTGTGTTGGAAATGGCACTACCTTCTTCTTTTTTTTCTTTTTTTTTTTAATGAGCTTTGTTCTGCTTATCTTTCTTTCCTTCTTTTTGCTTCAGTTCTCCTTCCTTTCTCTATACAATTATTTTCCTCAAGGTTTTCCTTTCCCCCAGCATTTTCCATTTCACTTTCTGACCTCTTCCTGTAGTCTACACATTTCCCCAGACACACTGCCATGTCCCAGTTTAGTGAGACTAATTCTGATTCTCAGAGGAACCCTATTCACTAATTGCACCTGCAGAGGAAAGAGCTATTACTGGGCACTTGTGTTTGTAACTTCCGCTATCTGAACACAAAACAGTTGAAATTATTTATGCAATCATTGGGCATCATGTGTTGAAGGTGTGAGGAGAAGAAACAGGAGGAATGATACAAGGAACCACCTGGCCCAGGGAAGATTCCCAATAAATTTCATAAATTCAAATTTTTAGTGACACTGATTTTGAACAGACACACGTTCCTCCCTGTATTCACATTTCATGAACATCAAAAGGGACAGGTTAAGCAACTGGAAAAGAATTTCAATGATAGGCACTATAACTATAGGCACCTAATTAGCAATGAACTGATATTATTATTGTTACTCAAAGAACAATAACAGTAACTCAGATCATCTGAGATACAGATTTCTTGTAGCAAAGTGCTTGAAAACACTCTAAAGCAAAATCGTTTTGCAGAAAAACAAGTCAGAGAAGTGCAGTTTCTCTGTGGAAACTTCATGAAGGCAAAGAAAAAAGGGAACTCCATCAAATACGTTTCAGTTTGAAGGTATAGCCAAATTCAATGAAATCACTTAAACCTCTGAGGAAAAAAGAAACAAAACAAAATGCAACAAAAAAAACCCCACTGACTTCCACCTAAAAGAGCTATATTAAGGAGACACATAGTTTGAAAAGAAAATGAGCCACATGTGCTCCAACAGCTGATGTACAGTACAGCTGAGCCCTGCCTTAGCCGTTTGCTTAATGCTGCACATCTCCAGGAGCAAGACAATGCCTTTGGCATTGAAAACCTTTGGCAGAAAACAGCTGCAGCAGAGCTTGAAGTGGCTCTTACTCCATCACTGGCAGAGCTGCAGGACAGGGAAGGGAAAAAGGTGAGAGAAAGGTTTTTTTGTAACCACAGAATGGGCTTACTGGCTCACAAAGCCTTCAGCTTTCACAATCTGCAGCAAGGAGCTGTGCAGGTACAGACAACGTACAGATTTCTGTAGATGCAGGTGAATGGGCACTGTTTATTCTAGTTTCCCTCTATAGGCAAAATAATGTATTGCATACAAAAATACATACTGCTTTCTGGGAATCCCAGAGGTCCCGTGGCTTCTACCCTACTGATCATGTCATGGAGCGGCTCTCACCTGACACCAGAATGATGAGGAGCTTTGCCTGTGCATCCAGGAGGCTGTGGAAGTACCGGATAATTGCAGGGATGTCTTTCACATAGTACAGCATCTGGGAAGAGCAGAAACACAGAGACATGGTGAGGTCCTGGAGAACACTATAACTGCTACCACAAGGTAAAAGGAACCAACAGGAGCAACCCTGGTCTTCCCTCATTACTCCCCCACACCAAGCTCATGTTTCTTCATTAATCTGAGATGAAAAAGCTTGCCTTCCTTAGCTGTGAGGACAGCTTGACACAGCTTTGGTATACTTGGAAACATAAAGGCAATTTCACAGAGAGGACAAGGGACTTTGAAAATGCTAGTTACAATGTGTTTTCAGTTGACTGCTGCCTGCAGCCTGGTAAATGGGACCACTGTGCTAAAAGCTGCTTTGCTGTAACTCATCTTTCATTTTTGCAGTTTACTTCTGCTTAAGTACTTTAAATTATAGGGAAATAAACTCACCTTTCTTCCCCCAGAGAGGATAATGAAGTTGCATATCTCATGCTTGCTTTTAACAGCCAAATCTTTGACAACTTTTATGTTGCTAACTTTTACCTGAATCATGTGAATGAAGTCCCATTTTTGAGACTTCTTTTCTGCCTTCATTCTCCTTTCATATTCATTAGCTGTCTCCTCATGCCAGGTAAACTTTACATTGTCGAGGTTTGAGGTGGCAGCCACACGTTCTGAAATATGGGAGAAGACAGGACAGCGTTAACTCAATTACAAATATGGGATTAATCTATATTCAAAGCCTTAATACATCCAGAGTCATGTTGAAGGTTTTGTTACCAATTTAATACAGCAACAGCATTCTTAAAATCTTGAACCTCTGTGTGAGAAGGGAGCTCCGGATCTTTGTAAGGTGAAGTCTTTAGAGTGTATGATGTTTCCCCTTTGCACCTTCATTTGGTTTCCCCTAGTCTTTATCTGATAGAAAAAAATAAAAGAAACTCTTTCACATGGCTGGTTCAAGCTGCATTAAAAGATGTTGGTTGGGACAAATACCAAACAAGGCCCCTTCACTGGGGTGTCATGCAACACTCACGTGGCAGAGCAGAAGCCAAGCTGTGCCGAAGGGTTTCCCAGATCTGACTGAATAAATACAGGAACTTAAGGATGGAGGAATAGATTCAAAGCATAAGTTATACTAATGGGCTTGGCTCCCCACGGCATTTTGTTGCTTTCATAGGAGCAAACTGTGGGATGATTTTTTATCTGAGGAGATGCCGGAATACAAATGTCCATCTGCTGGCATATGGAGCTCATTTTGCTGTGCTCCTGCTTAGGGCTTAGAACTGCTCCAGGACAAAACTAGCCCTGATGCAATTCCTGTGCTTCGCTGGAGTTAACATAAATTTAAAACTTAAATGGCCCAAAGGCAGACTGAGCCTTAGCTACAGAACACATGTTCAAAACATGATTTGCTAACACCAGTGCCTTTACAGTGCTAGTCACAATGTTCCTCCTTTGGGCTGTGGTTAGGATAAATCCCAGTCAGACAGATGAGAAATGCTCCATCAGTTCTTATCTCCCCTCTTTTATGGCCAGAAATGGGGCATCCCTTTTGGATGCTGCTGCTGTAACTCTGCTTGCTTCCATTTATCAGTCACTGGCCATAGCACTTGCAGTTCAGATTTAATTTGCTGTTTTAAACTTGGGCTTCCTTCAGCAGCGGTTCATATCACCATCACACGTAATCTGGTGCAATCTTCTCTAGTTCAATTGCTATGCAGTCTGCAAGGAGACACTGGGAAGGAAAGTGAATTGTGTGCCTAGGTTGGTTTTAAAGGCAAAATTTCAGAAAGGACAAACTCATTCTGATTATGGGAAGCTTTTGCCCAAATATTCATCTGAACCCAAGACATATCACTCTAACCACATAGAAAACTTGCTTAAATTTTATCCTTGTTTCAACCCAGACTGCTTCCTTGGCAGTAGCCACCCACAGGCCATTGACTTATGGCTCTGTACTGGGCTGGCCACAGTCACACCATGTTGCTCAGGATATGAAACCGAAGCACAGGCCAGGGTCATCAAAGGGCTTCATCCCAACATTGGCCAGGAATGAAGGAAAGCCTCTGCCTGGCCACGAGACTGTGAGAAGAGACTCCATCCAATGACACTTCCTAAGAGGAAGCTCAGTTTGTCATCACTGCAAGTCCCAGGAAGAAAGTTTCTCTCGTGAGCTTGGCTTCTCCTTTCCAAGGAGAAATGGTTAGGCAGAAAACAGAACTACGGAATCCTCAGAGGCACAGATAACATTTCTAATTCTCCGTGGAAAAAAGAGCTCAGAAACTTAATTAATGATACCTACTGGGGACATGATTAATTACCAAATAAGAAAGTTTAAAGAGAGAAATTCAGATGAATATTTCATTTCTAGTTTAGCATAAAATTTAAAATAGGGACAGCATCTTATATTTTCTTTAACTTTCTGCAGGAAAGAAACTCACCAAAATGGAACAGGATTGCCTGTTGGTGGTAGAAGGTGAATCTAGGAAGATGCAGCTCAAACTCAGCCTCATGTAGGCTATGGTCCACTGCCCAGATAGGACAGCAGAGCTATGTGCTAATGCCCAGACTGTCTGATAAACACAACAAATTCTGGTGCCCATTCTTCACCATCTCAATCCTGACAAACATAAAAGCTACTGGGAAATTATCTTTTCAGAGATCAGGTCCACAAGATAAGGAGACAGGTATCAAGAAATGATGCATTTCTGGGGATTATTGTTTTTTTTTCCACCTTCATATTCCTCAATTTGCTTCATGCTTGGAATGCTCTTTTTTAAAGAACCTTAGCAAGAGTAAGAATTGAAGATTTACATTGTGGTTTTATAATCTGCTATTTACTAGAGGAGCATTTCCAGTAAGGCAAACTACTGATGAGATTTGCATGTTAGCACCATGTTCATTCAGCAGCAGCTTTCTGGCAAGGCCATAATTACCTACTAGTAAAGCCAGGTAGGTGCTAATCCAGCAATAAACCATGAAGGTAATCAAACTGTAGACTGATACTTAATGCTCAGTTTGTAGGGCAATCTAAACAAAACATACCTGCTTACACTCTGTCCTTGTGAAATATTTTGGTTTCCTCCATTAAAGTGAGCCAGGCTGCCTGACTGGTGGAAAGAAATGAACTTTGCAGTGTAAGAGACAAAGGTTTTTATGAGAAAATGGATGCTGAAAAGCAAAGATGGCAGGGAAGCATAAAACAATGACTTTCATAACTTTTAAGAGCCAATTTTCTGGCAAGAAAGACTTTGAATGTGGGGTCATCTAGAATTCAACTCTTTTTAATGCATTTAGAGTATTCAATGTAATTTTAATTTATTTAATGACAAAATACCTTTGTACTTGAGGATTTGATCAGCACTTGGCTCTATCACCTCATTGTTGATGGTGACACCCGGATAACTGGCTTGCACAGCTGAGATGATCTGCAGGTCAATCTCACCTAGGGAAAGAGGCAATATTGCACAAGAGATGAGAGCAAAGTTCAGGTAAATAATGTCTCCAGCACCACAGAGCTCCAGCAATGCCCCTATTTTAAGTCTGATGCATGACATTTAGGTACAGAACATGTACCACATAGGTATGGTAGTGCACGGAGCACAGAGGTGCTCTGAATTCTTAACAGATTGCCACTGAGGGCTTTCCTCTAGCCATTGCTCTTGGCCACATCTTCCTGTCCACCATATAGGAAGCTCAGGGAGATGATGCTCTTGACTGAGGGATGATTTATGGCTGGTTTGAATGGCTCTGTTAGGGCATACTTCTGCTTATTCTGCTAGAATGTATGCAGGTGAAAAAGACAATAGAGGAATAAACAGATGGAGCACAATGTAATGCGTACACAGGAGCTCAGCCCATCACATGGTCCTCCATTATTTGGGTCCAGTTAACCACCAAGAGCTCTCTGCCACCTTCTGGCCCCAGGCCACAGGTCAGAACAAGATACTCCAAACCAAGGGTCTCACGTCTCATTTAGGCCTCAAAAACTTAACAGAAAAACCTAAGGAAGAATACAACACTTTCAGACTTGTGAGTCTTTCATAAAGCAACTAATAGCACCAAAATTTACTTGACATCTTGGCTGGTAAGTTCTTTGAGGGAAGGGAAATTTGATTTCCGAAATAGCATAAATAGCTGTGGCTTTGCTATCACTGCACACCCAGTATTTCGTTGGAAAATCAGAGCTAAGTCAGTCATTTGTAGGCATCCATGGTAAACTCTGGAAAAACAGAATTTGTAAGTAACTACTGCAATTGTTTGTTTATTTTGGTTGATTTGCCAACTTCCTATAAAATTGATTATCCCTTTGAAAAGGCTGTGCAGATCAGAATTTAAAAAAAAATTAATTTCCTGTTACCATATGTGAGTAGGTTAATATATCCCCTTCCACTCTTCTGTGGCTAAACCACCCCTTTATTGTTTTTAACCAAAAAAGCACCACTTTGATTCATATCTTAATCCACAGCCTTAATTGACTTCAGTTAGCTCTTTTATATGCAAACAAGTGTCCTGAGGCATTTTACAGTCAAATTTGCAGCAGCTTGCATTATCAACAATTTGGCAATTAGGCTATCCGAATTATTTAAACTCTCCAACACAATTACCTTTTAAAGGCTACCACTATGTTCGCCATTAAGTTTCTAATTAAACATTTTACGTAACGGGATAGTTTATAGCACAGTTGCTACTTTATTGCAGCATTGATGACTTTTATGGTTTTTAAAGGTACAGAGTGCTGCACACTGGAGTGTGAACTTAATAAGGCAGAGGCTGTAGGCAAAGGCAGATGCATTAGATGGGCAAGGGTAATGGGATATGATGCTGCATTAAATGGTTTGTTTTTTTTCTCACTGTGGAGAAAGTTCACAGGACATGAAAAAGTGGGGAAAAAACCTTTTCCTTCAATGCTGCCTCCCTGTGAAGTATAGGGGATGAGGCCATAGATGCTGGCATTAGGTTGGGGATTGGAGGGAGTTTGCTCTGTCTGCAGCAGGGACAAGCTTTGGGTCAGCCTTTACGTTGCAAAATGAACATTGACACATTATTGACTGAACACCTTCCTCGCTAAACTGGAGTGCCCCTGATTAAGTAATTAAGCACCTTTCTAATTGAGTAAAGTGTTCCTGTTACAAACAGCATTTTATTGGCAGACAAGTGGTTTCCTTTGATTGGAGAGAAGTGTTTCTGCTCTATCACACTATTTTCTACTTAACACCCACCATTTACATACAATTATTTTTACTTATTAGAAGAGATCAACAAAACTCAGATTAATCCCTGGAGATAGAATGACCGAAGCATTTAAATAAACTGTTCATATAGTCTGATGTCTTAATGGGCTGAGCAGAATTAGGAAATATAAACTTTAATTAAGAAGGAACTTAAGCAAGAACATAATGAAAAGAAGCCACTGTGTGCTGCTGGTATTGTTTTTCCATCTAGCTAACTTCAGCCTTTTTCTTCTGATATTACAGATCACAGTGAAGCCTGGGCAGCAGACACCTACACCTGTAGAAGACTGAAATCAAACTGACCAGGAGCACCATGTCCCCCACATGGCTGTAAGGTGCCAGTTAGGGCAAACTGGGACAAGTATAACAAGGGAGAATGGCTTTAAACTAAAAGAGGGGAGATTTGGGTTAGCATTTCTTTCAAAATTTTTTACTTAGAGGGTGGTGAGGCCCTGCACTGCTGCCCTGAGCTGTGTGAGTGTCTCACCCCTGGAGGCATTCAAAGCCTGATTAGATGGGACCCTGAGCAGCCTGATCTGGTATTGTCAATCCTGTGCATGGGATCTTTAAGGTCCCTTCCAACTTAAGCCATTCTATGATAAGCACATGCAGGTAAGGCTGGAGGTGTCCCCAGCTGTGCCATTAGCAGATGGCAAACCAGAGGAACGTGTGATGGTGACTTGGGTTCATGTTTGGCCCTGTTTTTTGGGGGGTCAGTAGCTGCAGAAGGGGCTTGTGCAATGGATGTGGACCATGAGAGTTATAGGGGAAAATAATTGAAAGGAAAAAAAATACTCTGAGGAACCTAACTCATGCTCTTGAGTTAGGGTTTTTTGCATGGAAAGCCAGTGGGCAGTTCAAACCTTTCTGTCCTCAAGAAGTAATGTAGCAGAATGAGAGTTCATTCGCCTCTTCCAGACGACTTTTTGAGAAAAGCCTTTACTGCAATTTGTATAAAAGGGTAAAAGCATATCAGTAGTGAAGCTGATAGCATACCTGCTCCACCACCGACACTTAGAATATTGATTGTAGACTTCCCGCTTCCAATACTGCAAAAACAATTACAGATGTTAGGAGAGCTGACACCAGAGATTTACACCCACTATACAAAGCACCGTGCCCCGTTAGCTTACCAGCCCTCCATTACCTTGCCAGCAGGCCTGGCAGCTGCTGCTCCACAAACTGCTTCATGGTCTGGTGCTCAGTAGACTTGGCCAGGAAGACACAGAAGCAGCGGACGTAGCAGCTGAGGTCTGTCAGCAAGTTCTTCATTGGGGACCCCATGATGGATCCGGGAGCTGCACACAGCAGAGAGGGAAAAGAGCTCTACTCCTATATCTGGTGTCTCAAACCAATTACTGGGGATGGTTTGACATATCCCCAGAGAAAGATTTAGGCAACAAATGAGGACAAATGCTATCCAATTGATTTAGGACAAATTCTAAGCAACTAAGGAATGGGGGGAAGATGGGGAAGCTAGCAGTAGTAAAGAGAGAAATCCTAGCAAATGGTTTACAAAGCAGGGATAGTCACCACTAGGGATACAGCAACGTCTTATGGTCCGCAGGGAGGCAGCAAGTTGGTTAGCAACATCTTGTTGACTTGCTCAGTAGTTTGGCAGAGGGAGTACTCGTTCTTCCTTAGAACATTTTGGGTTTTTATTCTTTTCCAAGCATCTTTTTGATTGCCAGGCTGAGCAGTTGTTGGGTAATGGGCTGTTGATCATGCAATTGTTGCATGGTGGGCTGCTAGGTATGCACATTGACTGCATGGTAGTCATCTCCTCTGAGATGACCCCCATAAGTCAGCTTGAATGCCTAAAAGAAACATCCAAAAAGCTTTCTCCTTGTCCCTCAGCCATATACGTTTATCTTGCCACTGTGCTTATGGTAACCATTAACCCCAAAACTTGTTGAGCAGGTTATGTCTCAGGTGGGTGCTGAACAAGCTTTGAAGCAATAATCGCTCCAGCTTCTTATACTTGGAGAAGGAAAAACAAGCTATGGATTGGCGCTAGATATAAGGGTTTATCATGTGGCTGCATGGTTGGATGGCTGAATGAAGGACTTTGCTCTTGTCCATGTGCTGTTTAAAGTGCATTGCGGAATGTTGCAATAGGAGGCATAAATCGGAGCAGCAAATGGAAATATATTATTGTTAATCTCCATGCCTGCTTTTTTTGGCTTCACTGACACAACCACAAGCCAGCAGTAGGTCTTCAGATGCTTGTTAAATAGAGAGAAGCTCCCTCATGCCTTGGAGGCATGGAGGGCTCAGAAGGGCTGGGCTGGGTTAGCAGAGTGCAGCACGTGTCTCCAGAGATGCTAGTGGATGTCTTTATTGCTTTTTTTGAACCTTTTGATGTTCTTAAAGGGGATGTTGGGGGTAGGGTTGAAAAAAAAAAAACCCAAAAACCTGTAAAAACGCACTCTGTATTTTTTAGTCCATGTGAAGATAATGGCACAATTCCCACAGGCAAACTAGAGCTTTCTTGAAAGCCACACAGGTTGATGGGATGGATGTCAAGAGCCCTGGAGCTGGGGCAGGCAGCGTGTTTCCTGGACACAGCAGGAAGGACTGAAACCATAGCTTGTGTCCATCACATCTTGTCCTCAGCAGGAGGAAGAGGAGCCCTGCTTCTCCCTACAGGCACCTTGCACGGGGCCCTGCCTGTGACTGCCTTTGCTCCCCGCTTCCCCCTTCTGAACCTCACCGGTTATTTTTATTGCTCTCACTGGACTTCTCTTGTTTCTTTTCAATGATAATAACAGCTGCCAGGCTTTACTGGCTGTCTTTTCTGCTGGTGCCAAAAATAACGTCCAGCTCACGTGCTCTTTTTGCATCCCAAGAGCTGCAGCCCTGCACGTCCCAGAGGCTCTCACAGGAGGCATTCCCACTATTCCTCTTCTTCGAGGAACCACATGCTGCTGCCAGAGCCCAGGCACAGGCTGTACTGTGCTGCTTGCTCAGCCAGAACAACTCGTCCTAAGGACAGCCACCACAGCAGACCCCCACCTTGTACCTCATCCCCTCTCACACAACAAAGATACTTTCTAGAACAGAATATAAAACCAGACGAAAAAGATGCTGGAAGAACACGAGAACTTTGCTTGGTGCCAAGTGCTGGTTGGCACAGCACTGGAATGTGATGGGACCCCTGAGCACAAGAGCTGCCAGTCTGCCCTGTGTGAGAAACAGGGAGCAGCATCCCCGTTTACCTGGCTGTCTGGCAGCTCACCTCTTTGCTTTTTGCTTTCATTTCACAAAGAAGCTTCATTGCATGCTGCTAAAATATTTTACAACCTTCAATCTTGAGAAAATATTTTGTTCTTAATGAGAGGAGATTGAGACAATCAACATTTCTTGTCCAGCTCCCTCTGCTTCCTGTGATTCAATTTGCCCACCCTTTGCTCTGCAGTCTCTAACAAACAGCTGAGATTCATTTTCATGTTATGTGCACTTCAAGGAATTTGTCTCATTTATTTCATTATGTTTTTGGCTACCTGAATTTGCCCCATCTATTTCATTCTGCATTTTGCAGTTTGAACCGCAGCTAGTGAACTTCAAAAGTGAGTTTAAAAAAGAGAGAGGGACAGAGAGAGGAAAGGATTGGGATTTGGGGGTCAGATTGCTAGAAATTGATTTCTAGAAACTTCTGGACGTTCATTTGGGTTTCCCTTTGCAGGAGGTTTGGGACTTGTTAGTAGGGGATGGTGCTGATGGAGGATGCCAGTGCAGCCAATGCCCGTGCCTGGTACTTACGTGATGGGACTCAGTGAGCAGCAGCTCCCTCGGTGTGGCGTAACGTCACTGTGCTGTGCTGCACTGCCGTCCTTTCTGTGCCTTTGGTCCCACCCCAGGACACGACGTTGCAGCTGGGAGGAGGTCCTGGGATGTGATTCTGGGCTGCAAGCACTGCGTGGGGAGAACAGAGGAGTTTGGCTGCAACTCACACACGTGCTGTCCCAGATCACCGCTGTGCACAGCCCAGCTGGAAAGGTCAGGGAAAAAGGGAGAGAAAGGGAAAACAAAGTCAAATCAGGTCCCTCTGACCTGTTCCAACATCACAGCTGTGATTCTCTCTCTGTGTCTATGTGTGCAGTTTCTCTGAGACATCTCCGAGCCTTTCTGTGATTCTATAGGGGAGATTTAGGTCAGGTGTTAAGAAGGCAGCTGGATGTGGCTCTGGGCAGTCTGGTCTAGTGGATGGCAACCCTGCACATCTGCATAGCAGAGGGCTTGAAAGTAGATGGTCATTGTGGTCCTTTTCAACCTAGGCCATTCTATGAAGAAATTCTTTACTCAGAGGGTGGCAAGGCCCTGGTACTGTTGCCCAGAGTGGTGTGCTGCCCTTCCCTGGAGGTGCCCAAGATCAGGCTGGATGGACCCCGGGGCAGCCTAAGCTGCTGGGGGAAACCTTGCCCTCAGCAGTGAGTGAAACTGGATGATCAGTAAGGTCCCTTCCAACCCAAACCACCCTGTGATTCTATGATCTCTGAAGGTTCTGGGATCCAGCCAAGGCTTGCTGCTTCACAAGGCACTTGGTACAGGGTCAGAGATCTAGCAACACATTGATGGGGGTTGAGGTGACCAAGAGTCCTCAGAAATTGGAAATGGCTGTCTCAGTGTGCAGCACATGGTAACATACAGATTTATTTACAGTTTGCCTACAGAAACCTATCGTTATAGATTACTTTGCTTTATATACGCTTTTCTTGCAAGCAGCTCAGATTTTGCTCATCCCTTATTTTCAAAGGCTTAAGCACACCATTTTCCATATATATCCACTATTTTCACAGACTTGCTAGCAGTGGTTCTAATCCAGGGAGTACAAGGGCAGTGGACCCATGCCTGTTATCACACTGCAATTTGGTGTTGATAGCATTAGTAGCATACAGCTCATATTATTCACTATTCCTTCACATTTGAAGTTAAATGAACAAGGTTTGCTCCTGGACTTGCAGCGAAAAAATGAACTGTTCACAGAGGAATGAACTATCTGTGTTGTAAAGGACATATCAAATAATACCAGTAATATTAATAATCCTACTTTCAGAGATGCAGTCACAGGAAAAAGAGACTGCAATGTGACATTTAGCCAATAGTTTATCAAGATAAAAAAAAAAAAAAAAAAAAAATCACATTATCAGTTGCAAATTCTGATTGAGCCACTACTGGGAACTGTGCTATTTTCTTGCTGTATTATCCCTCTGCCCGTGCAGGGCAGCAGCTCCAGAGCACCTGCAGAGAAGGAGCCAGGAGCCAGCACCCAGCAGCACAGGGCCCTGCAGCACACCGCCTCCATCCACTTCTCTCCTTCCTCCACACCTCAGAGCAGCAGCAGATGGACCAAATATCCACTCCTCGAGATGCACACATTTGCTGGGCTCCCCTCTGGGTCTGATTTAATCACGCTCAGCCCCATCGATAACAGCGGGAGTGAGAGCGTCGCTTAATGTCCAAAGAATTATTTCTGCTGTCTTCTAATAAAGCACGCTGATGTAGGCAGGAGTTGATAACACGATTGCTGCACTAGGGTAGCAAAATCTCATTTTACAGGACAACTGAACTGTCAGTGCCAAAGAGCAGACAGGTTATTGCTCATGCTCCTCCAAGGTTGCTTTTATTAAAATGGAAATTTCCAAAGCTTTGCATGCACACACAGGCATTGAAGTCCCTCCTGGGGCTGGTCACAAGGCTTTGAGGATTTTCTCTCCCTCCCCAAGCACCATGTAGACATCACCACCTTACACCAGACCTGTTACATGCTGTATGCCTCCCACACCATCAGAGCAGGTTTCCTGAATGTGAGGCAGCAAGGCACCAGCTGGGCCCAGCCAGGGGTTGTGCACATTCAGTTTGAGGCTGGGGAAGGGACAGGTGTGCCCCCACCTTTTCTCCAGCGCTCTAACTGCTGCTCCAGGGCACTCCTGATCCCTAACACAGCACAAATGTGGGGCAGCAACTGCACCAAACCCAAATCTAGCTACCCAGAGCCATGAATTCAACAAACACATCGCTCAATCTTCCTCAGTACTCCTGGGAAATAGAAGTAATTTTTACAAATGTGTGCCTTGCTTGAAATCATTTTGCTTTTTTTTCCCCCTCCCCAAAATTAATTGAATCAAAGATTGTTTGTGAAATATCTCATAATGGAGTGCTCCCAACTGCTGGCTCATAATTAGTGAAACAAATCAGTGCTCTGTCCCCAGACTGACAAAAAATATATTTACAGAGTATTTCAATAAGAAATTTGAAACTGAAATTCTTCAATTAATATCGGAAAGCAATTTCAGCTCCCAAAGGCTGGTCAGGGGGCTTGTTATTGAGGCCATGTCAGGAGGTGATGGAGGGTGCTGGGCACCTTCACTGCCTCATATGCTCATCAGAAAGAGCCGGTGGCAAGTGGTGGCATTAAAATCATGTGCAGCTCTCATCCTGCAGAGATGGCATGGATGGAGCAGATCAGAGAGCCTCTGCCTCACACCACACCTGAGCAGCTCACAGCTCACTTTTTGCTGGGACTTTAATGCCTGCCAAGAAGCCAGTTTCTGAGCTGGAGGAGCGTGAAGGACTCGACAAAGACCTGGCTGATGTTACGGATGTCATGGGAGAACAGAACTGTGCCAGGGAACATGAGCTGGGTTTTTGCAGGCATGGATTTTTGAAAGCAACAATCATTCATGATAAAAATGCTGTTTTTAGGGCATTCTGCCCTAAAGGTGCAGAGGAGAACACCTGGTGCTATGCTCACCAGGCACAAGCCCTCCTCAGCTTCGCCAGGGTGCTACCTGCCCATAACAACATCAGATCTAAAAGACCCTGAGTTTCTGCATCATTAACACAACCAGCAGTAACGGGAAGAGCTTTCTTCTGTTTGGATGCAAACACACCACATCAACACGGACATTTCGATGCGAGGAGCCCAGCTGTGTTGGTTTAACTGGGCTGCTGCCTTCAGAGCATTATTTTGACAACTGAATATTCTGCTCTCATCTCCTTGGTGTGTTTCACATTCCTCCTAAATCTCTCTGCTTGAAGTGTAATATTTTCATGTCATTCATATCTCTTCCTGTGGGAACTTGCGATAAGCTTTGGAAACGGCTTAGACACACACACTCCTCTCAGATTGCAGTAGCCTCGTGCAACTCTCAGACTTGAAATCTTAGCATTAAGATCACAATAAAACCGTGCATTAGGAGCACTTAGACGTCTGTAATCCTTCGTTTGTGCTGAAGCCCAGCATTTAAATTACCCTGACTTGCTAAAAACTTACCTCCCTACTTAGAGATACTGTCCTCCATAGAGGTCTTCAAAGATTTTCTGGTCCTGAGCACCTGCTCTGTGTGTCCTTGCTTCAGCAGGGTTTGGACTAGATGGAATCAGAAGTCCTAACCAAATCCAACCCTTCTGGCAAAACCTGTTTTCTTACATTCATGCTCTCAGGCTCCTGTTTGTGGATGGAGGTGGCCAGTACCATATATTCCTACTGTGTATCTGCACAGCACTGAGCCTGCTCACCACTGTAGGCACTGCTACAGGGACACCTGCAGCTCAAAGCCCTGTCTAGAATAACCTTGAGAGTCTCCATGGATGGGGCATCCACTACCTCTCCAGGCAACCTGTGCTAGTTTGTGCCATATTGGAAAAAAACAAAAACAACAACAAAAACAAAACCACACACACACAAAAAAAAAACCACAAAAAACCAACTTTGCCCTTTTATCCAATCTAAATCTCTCGTCTTTCTGTTTGAAACCATTTCCCCTTGTCCTACCACAACAGAACCTGCCAAAGAGTGTCCCTTTCTTTCTTACAGCCCCCTCAAAACAAATTCAGAAGCACAAAACTAACTGTGTTTAGGACTGCATAACTTCTGAGAAATTGTTGCAAACCAGAGATATGAGAAATTATCTCACTTCTTTAAAAATATGGCCAGATGTGGTGGCCGTACAGTTAGATGCTTGCATGCTGTTACACAGGATGGAAAGTGAGATGAGCGCTGACCTGCCAGTCCTCAGGTCTTTGTGCTGTGCCTTGGCTTTGTGAATAGCCATTCCTTAATCTAAGCTACACTCGTAATGGGGTTTGAACTAGTGTATGAGTTTCAGAGCTGAGCTTACCACTTACTGCCAAAAAGAGTTGCAAATGTGGGATTTCACAGTGAAATACCAGCACACAAACAGCTCTTCCTGGCTAGCACTTATCAGAGTTAGGTGCACAGATCATACAAAAGCCTTGCAGGTAGCAAAATGTTGCTCAAGCAAAAACATACAAAAGCTGTTCATTGATTGTGCTGTCTTTTTTTTTTTTTTTTAATTACAAGTTAATTTTGAGCCAACAGGAGTTTCGACTTGAAAGCTCCTCCCTGCAACGTGCTTTAGAAAATGGGTACAGAAAAGGCAATCTTACAACTGTAAGTACTGTGTGCTTTCAGTCCCTCTGCGCAGAGTTGCTCCCAACTTAATGACTGCCACTTTCACAAGCATAAAGCTGAAGGTGTGTTCATTTGCTCTGAAGTCAGATGGGAAGAATTTTGTTTAGATTTTTGGTTGTTTATCTGCACAAGGAGTGGGGCCTGCAGGTAGCCTCACCACTGGGATGCACCCAGATGAAGACGTCATCTTGCTCCCCCTACCCCATCTCAAGCATGCACTCATCCCACAGCCATGCCCTCACCTCCTCACTCACCCTTATCTCCTGCAATGTCTCTGCTCTCTGCTCCCTTCCTGCCCTGGAGATTTGCAACCATTACCTGTAATAAATTTTCACACCGTTTCTATCTCTTGCCTCCATCCAGCTGGTGCCATTGTAGGCGGTTTCCGTGCGTCACCGCTTCTTTCAGGCATCACATTCTCCTGCAAGATAGTGCACATCCATCTCAGCTGCCTGCTCACCCCTTTGTGCAGCCTT